CTAATCCTTCGTACAGCGAATTACAATCCCATTTACATCTACCGGCATGAGTTTCATCATGTTCACGTTACATCTCGTACTCCACATTCCATACTTGATACTGGCATTTCCGTAAAGATTTACCTTTAGCAGTAGAAGGCTTTCTCTAGATTGCACGAAAATTGTGGCAAAGTAACTTATCCAATTTCCCCGTGAAAGCCTGTCTTTTGATGAAAGAGAAGTTCTCAATCTGACAGAAGCTAACTTCCCATTGAGGCTGATGATACAGTTGTTCCATTTCTTGTCTGACTTTTTTTATCTATCTCTCATAAGCATCATCTACTTTTAGGTCAGCACTCATGTCTTCCAAGACTGATTTCACGATAGTTTATGATTCTCTTACTTGATGGATGCAAGTAGACACCTACGGCATACGAACTCAGCCCCAAACGTATTCCAAATCTATGAGAATAGTTTTGATCAGTCTTCCTCTCAAAGAACTAAGTATAGCACAAGTTGTCATGCTCATTATCCACATCGGAATTCCGGATTCTAGAAGTTAAGTCATGCTCCGCTTCGTCAAATAGAGTATCTCTTGATAGCTTATTCGTATCTCAATTGCCGGCACGGTGATGCTGAAATCAAGTGATTGTTGTGCGAGCATGACTACAGCGGCCTAGAAAGTATCTAGAAGCAGTCAGCCACAGCTTGATAATTCTTAAAATTAACTGCAAGGGACTTTCGACTGTGTGTATTTCATGCACATTGATGGTGAAGTGCACCAGGGAGTATACTCGAAAAAGCAATTTGAGATTTGGGCATAACCATATTCTTAGATTGATCTTTCGTAAAATTGAAGGCATGATAAAGATAATCATAAGGAGATGAGATTAAACCATTTACACGGAAGCAATCGAAGTCGAATTAATTATCATTCCGGAAGTTGGACAACGTTCCATGAAGCCATACATCTACTAAAATGCTTAATCGAAAACTATCAATGATTTCTACCTACCCACAAAATAGACTAGATAAACAGCACAACATACCATACTTCTTTCCAAACTTTGAATATCTAAACTTGTGAGGCCTTTTGTTTGTCAAGCACCAATTGGAACATTGAAAAGTTCGATGATATTCGATTGTTCTTTCCCAATATGCGTATTTGTTTGTAAGTACTTGCTTCTTTCCATAATATAGAACAGCTCTTCCCCAATGTGTAATCTCATCCGTATATATTCATACCTTCCCATGGTTTGGACTGCTCTTTCCCTACCTGCTTATTCCTCATATTCGCCAATCGATCTGATATCTGAAGAACCATTGCTCCAATGTAACTTTCAAAGTATCACAACAATCCAAACAATCCATTAAGCATGTCTTTGGAGCCCCCCGAGAACGATATCACTGGAGATTCAACCCCAAATCTCACCGATAGTGACGATAGTGATTTGAGCGATGACACAGTTGATCGTCAGTTATCGGCCAAGTTCCTACCTGAGTATGTAGTGCCATGACCCTTTCCTGCAGAAGCTAATTCGAAGCAGGAACACTAAGTTCGATTTCGTTCTCCTCGATGTCTTCACTCGAACTTCCGGAAAGGGTCGTCGAATTGCAATAATCGTTCTCGATGGAGAAAAAGCTGAATTCCTTCTACCTCTTGAGAGAAAATTGCTCGTCGAACATTACGACTGTCCAGCTATTATTTTATACTCGAGGAGTGATGGAAAGTCTCAGTTCTTTATTGAAAATTACTGCAAAGATGATGCCAGAACCGATTGGGAACCATTCGAGACGTCACATGGTGTTCTTGCGCTGAATTATCTTTTGGACGCAACAGACGCACAATTCAACGATCGAAAAGTGGGTAAACATATTCGGACATTTCTAGGTGGTGCCAAAGATTTTGTGGCTATAAACTATCCTCAACAGCATTATGTACAACTAGAAAAGCAGCGGGTAGATGATTGGTTTGAAATAATGCCATATCGAGCAGGATGCGATACGGCGTTTGATGATAGGACGATGGAATATAGGAGGGTGCACCTTTCAAATTCGACGATCATTGATGCCAACTTCGCGGACGAGGTAAGAAACGATATTTCCAGGAATCCAGTTTTTGTCCATCAATTCGGAGCTATTGGATTCACTCTCATAAATCTGTATACAATCCACAATTTCAACCACATAACAAGTGGAATCCCAGACGCTTTGGTAAAGCAAGCTTTATCAGCCAATGAAGATGACGAAAATCCTTTTGTAGGAGTTAACGCGGGTACGATATTCTTCTATATTTCACCACGATTGTGTGAAGAAAGGACGAACAATGAAAATAACAATGAGCTGATATACGATCTTTATGAAATACACGGCAAAATTGTGGCCCCCTTCCCAGATGATCCAAGTATTGGCACTGCGGCAACCACCCTTGCGGCCTACCTTGCATTATACTTATCCGAGCACGACATTCTATGTCGCGAAAGTCATGAAAGAGAGTTGAACATTGGCGATCACAGGATATCGATATTCTTGATGCGATTGGATACTGCCAACAGTACCAAAAATCAAGAATGTCGAGTTGAAGTTGTGGTGGAGACAGAGGTTGATGCTCTTTTGAAGATCAAGATTACCGAACTCAAGTTTGGAGCTCCAGTTACATTGGTGAAACGCGAATCGATGGAGGTGTCTCGTCGATGTCTGAATACGGAATTTAACCTATGGAAGGCAGGTTTTAGACGTGCTGATGAGGTAATGGAGGATTACTTTGGACCTGTTAATGAGTTTAGTGGGGAGGGCGTAGGGAGTTTGTTACCATTGTGCAGGAAGGAAAGAAAGTACCTAGCTCGTTTGTTTAAGGAAGAGTTGGGACCATAGTAATACGGTAGAAGAATACTTATATTGAGATGAAGGAGAAGGTGTACTTAGTATCAATTATAGAATAAATTGCAATCCACAATGGCAGAATAGGCTATTCATTGTCGGATTTAATTTTACATTGAAGGGCTATATGAGGCTTGCTTTGACATGGAAATACCTCAAGGGAGCTTTCAATTTCTAAATCCAGATTCAAACATTGAAAGGCGAAATAATACTTCTATATCCGAGCGAGCTTTCCATTGTCCGCGTCGAGATTCATATATAAAAGAGTGCTTTGAGACCTCCAAGCGTAAGAAGTCTTACTATTGTCCAAATCCAGACTCGAACATTGAAGAATGACATGAAGCATGGGAGAATATCATGAGGCATCGAGGCTTGAGTGACCATTTAACTTCCAATTTCAAATGCAGATTCCGATAATGAATCTATGACAGGGCACCTACACCTCGGATAATATTTAATCGTGGAATTTAAACATAGACATTAAAGAGTGATGTGATGTGAGGTCTCTAAGTATGGAACATCATTTGTTTATCCAATTCTAGATCAACCCTAGATCCAAACATTGAAGAGTGACATGAGGTTTCATCAGAGCCATACTTTGAACTTAAGAAGCGGATCATTCGAATTTCCAAATGTAGATCCGGATATTAAAGAGTAGGTAGGTAGTATGTAACGTCTACCTGCAATAATTCGCGCTGTCCGTATCCAGCTTCAAATATCGAGAGGTGTCAGAAGGTATTAAATTACCAAGGCTATGCTATTGCGCAGAGCACTATTGAATGAGGAGTAGCTGTAGGATAGAGACACGAATATCCGTCTTCCCAGAGTATGCAATAATCCAGACAAGCAGTCCAATAGTTCTAATGAGAAAGAAGCTTTGGGTTTATGAATTCGAATGAAACGTTTAAATTTTAGGTATGAAATGAAGAATTATGTTCAAATACTTAAAACTTTTTATATATTGAGTTCAAATCAATAAATTCTAGGTTTTCAAATATTGAAGAAGCTGAAAGTTCATACCTAGCTTGTCTACTAGTCTAGAAAAGACTATTGAACACTTTGTAGTTTTATCCCCAAAGGTCATATTGAAACTCTGCGATTTGGAGATGATCGTGGAGGAAGATCACGGAGGAATGTCGATACATACACATGCCCCCAATCATCAATCCTAAATATCATCTCCAATATCACCTCCCTTCTTATAATTATATATATAATTACACCGTGTAATTATACTATATAAAGAAAAATTCACAATACCAATTAAACCAAACATTCCTTCCCACCGGCATTAAAATCCTCTAGGACCCATGCAGCTCCAAATCACTCTGTAAACCAAATCGTCCCGATCCATTCATATCTACATTTTGATGTTTTGAACCTATTCGCAGATCCCATATCGAGTTACCGTCGAGTAGGGAGGTTAATACCTTTAGCATCGTTTGTGTTTGTTGATGAAAGGGCTCGGGTAGGAAGGGTAGTGCGGGAAAATGAATTATTTCATTGCACATGTATGGTGTTATCGCAGCTATTTAAAGTACTCTCTCTTATTTTGGGATATTCGCGCGGATCAGTAAAGGCATAATGATGTAAGTGTGAATAAGGTCGAAAGTTCGTGGTAAAATTGTTTTACCTGATGTGAATGAGCGATTTTGATATTTTGTGCAATGAGGCTGGTTGCGATAACATGATATTGCCGTCTCGATCTGAATATAAACAAGTTCCTATCTTACAATATACTGCGTCAAATTTTTTAAATAACAGAATAGATTCGATATATTTTGGACGATACTCAAATCAAGGAAAAGTTTATATATGCCATCAATTTTTCAAAATTGAAGCATATCGTGCTCTGAGAAGAGTTATATGATTATTCCATTATCCACTACAACAGAACAACGAGTCCAAAAACAGAATACGTACTTACTTATTTACATTCAACAATTACTCTATAGAATATAAAAAGCCAATCACGACAAAAGCAAACGATGAATAGATAACAGTTACTCTAAAAAAGGAACAAAAGGCGAGACCACCAAAACCAAAAGTATCAATTTCCATCAACCAAAAACACAAACAAAAGCCCGCCCACCAATAACCATAACCAAACCGAAAAAAAAGCCAAAAAGGAAAGCTGTAAATGCAACTGCCGTGAATCGAACACGAACCTCCACCTAGACTTCACCGTTGTGAACGGATATGGAAGGGTGGAATCCTAACCATTGGACCACAGAAGCTGAGCGACCGTTTGCTTTGTTTGATGGAGTGAGTGGGTGAACTTGGGATTATATTGTTGGAGAAATTGAGAGTGGGGAGGAAGGTGATTGGTTGATTGGGTGGGAAAAATGGGGAGCTCGGATACGGTTCTTCGATTGGAGATTCAATCCCATTTATATCAGTTTCTTACTTACCACTCACAACATCCGCCTTCAGATATCAGATACAAAGCATCTAACATTTTCTCGTCCCAATAGTCCATATACACCGACCCACTAGAGTATACTTCATACAATTTCCAAATATATTCCAGGTAGGTAGGTAATAAACACTTCTCCACCCAACAACTCCCTAACCCTCAATTTGCCAAACTGCTTATCGATTAGATCCCAACACTATCTCATCTGCCTCTTCCACATCCAATATACAAATACAAATATAAATACTTAACATCGTATTTAAGCTATCCAATTCTTTCTATATAAACTCTATAGGTAGATAGATAGATAGATAATTTATATTAATAATAATAATATATCATTGTCAAGATTCTAGATTATATTTTATTAATATTGTATGCTCCCTGTCTAGGTATAGAACACACCGATTTCTTCAAAATCAAATCTGATCAAACCATTCAAACTATCAACTCTTCAATCAAATATTTACCATCGAAACCCTAACCTTGTTATTTGAAACTCCAGCTCTTAGCTATACATCACTATACAAACTCACAAAGTATATCCCATTATCAATCATATCTCCATCCCTAATCATTATATCAAACCATCTCAAATTCTCCAAACTCTTCAAACTCACCTCCCAAACTCAACTCCCAAACCATTTCCCCCTACAATTCTATCAACAATACCCAATATTCCATGTATTCCATATTCCATATTCCCTCCCCTCCCCTCCCCTTCCAAATCACCCTACAAAACCAAACCAAACTCCCCAACATCCCCAACATCCCCCTCCCCCCTTCCCCCTCCCTCTCCCCCCTTCCTCCACCCACCCACCCAACCTCCCAAACCCTCAAATCAATCAATCAATCAATCCATCCATCTCCTCCCCTCCCCTCCCCTTCATTCCACTACAAATATATAAACCCAACAAACAAAAGATGCCCTATTCACAAACTCTATATCCTCATCCTCATCCTCATCAATATCAATATCAAAATCGAAAATAGGGATCGGATAAACCACAGACAATTACATCCATCAAATTTTCATCCCTTAACACTTCACTTAACACTTCACTTAACACTTCACTTAACACTTCACTTAACACTTCACTAAATACACAAAATAATTCTTATTCTTATTCAAATTCTTATTCAAATCCTCATTCTTATGCTCAATATTAAAATAGTATATTTTCTCTTCTCATCCAACTCACCCATCACAAACCCCAAATATCATATCCACAAGAAGCTCATCCATCCATCAATCCATCCATAACGATAGATCTATCCACCAAAAATCTATTCATCCAAGAAGTTGAAACGCCTTAATCCTTCCTTTTCTTAGCTAGCTAGCTATTTGCCAATGCCAATGCCAAAAAGTCTATTTATTCTATAATATCCCAATATTTAAAACGACCGTTCATTTGGAATCTTCAACTCATTCATCAATCAATCAAAATTCCTTTTCACCCGTACATACAAATGAATAGAATGGTATCATACTCTCCCAGACTTCTCCTCCCTAGGTGGTACCTCTCCTCTTACATTCTCCCATCCTTTCTCTCCAACACCAATTACTCCCTCCCTTAAAATCGTTAATTGTCTCACCCCACAATATCCTCCCTTTCTGGCTACTCTCTCATAATCAACATAACGTCCCTCCTTCTCCCAATAACCCTTAGGTTTCGCTATCGCTCCTTCACTTGGAGTCATCTGTCTTTTTGAATGCATGATTCTCGATGGTGGAGAAACTTCAGCACGGGATTTAAGTCCTCCAACTATAGCTGAGAAATATGATGATGATGCTGATGTTGTTTGAATAGAATTTAAACCTTGCCAGGTAGAATCTTCATCGCTTAGATCCCTCTTTCCTTGAGTTTTGTTATTCGTAGAATTAGGAGCACTTCCATATTTTCCACCAAAATTCTTTTGTAAATCAACCATAGCTTGCTCTTGTTCCGGCGTGAATGAGTTGGGGATCCATAATCTATCTTCCACAATATCCCCTTCCTTTTCCAATCTCCTATCGTTGAACCGTGGTAGATGTGCAAAATGATTGATGATAGCTTGCCATGGAACAAATAATCGTTCAAACCTCTTGGCATATTTGATATTTTTGAATGATTTCGCATCATATGCTACTCTCACAAAAGGATTCATGAAAATTCCTTCACCCCAATCCTCATTACTATTTGTAGTATAATCGGGGAAATCGGGTTTAGCGAGAATATCGGCATGAATGAGACAACATTCAGAAGAATCCCAAAAGGATTCTGGTTCGGATCGAAATTTAAGTGGAAGTTCCGCGAGCGAGATTGAACGTTCGTTTGCGTCTTCAGGTTTCTTTTCTTTCAAAGTTGAAGAAGTGGTATTGTCAATTTCCTTCTGGAAAAATCTAGCATCAAAAGCCACAATACCACCCCAACAACTCTTAACTCGGACTGCATCCTTTCCAGCCAAAACATCATTTCGACTAGTACTCTCTCCTTTTCCTCCAAACCATGGGAAGATTGGTACACCAATACTATAACCCTCAGTATCCCTTGTAGCATAGGTATCATAATATTTCCAACTCGAAATGAAATCCGCACCACAAACAGCCTTGTACTCCGCCCTTCCCTCCTCATTAACATTTGTACCCCATAACAACCTCAACGCACCTTCCACCTCAAAAATTACATCATTCAAGAAGAGGACTCTCTCATATTTCTTTGTCAATTCCCCTGATGTAATAGGATCCAAAGCCTTATTCCTCACATCGGCCAAAAATTCAATTCTCTTGACCCGTGTCTGTCCACTGGGTAATGTGACGCGATGTAAAGTAGAAAGATCAATAGCATCATCCGCCTCCGCTACAATCTTCTTCTCCACACCATGTAACCTCTCGTTCAATCTCTCCAAAGAATCCTTAGGTCCACCATACACACTGACAAAAACCCTCTCCTTTCCAATTGCTTCGACTAGCGCAACCAAATGGTCACCCCATAACCCATCTATGAGTTCTGAATCCACTATATTTGCGGCAATAAATACTTTTTCATCGCTAGGTACCGAGAATTTAGGAGGATTCGTATAACTTGCGTTGAAGATAATTTGCCAACATAGAAACAAGATAAAGAACAAGAAGATGTATGTTGGTTTGCAGATTCTTCTAAAGGCTCGTAAAATTTTCGAAGCTAAGCGCCGTGAGGAAGCTGATTTATCTTTGAATTCGTAAGTAACGTCATTGGCATCGAGAGAGTTACGTGGAAGAGGATCGTATCGAGGGGAGGATGATCGAGCCATTGTAGAGATATAGCTTTGATTCCCGTTAGGGATTCTTCTTGTTCCTAGAGCAAATTCCCTTTCATCTGATTAATCTGCAGTATTATTCTCCTCGTATCGCTATCCCTTATCTCCTTTACTGTTGGTGTGGTAGGCAATGAACGGTCTTCTTCGTCGCACTCGAGGTTGAAAAGGTTGTATTGTTAAAAGAGCGGAATAAATGCCATATGACGATAAAAAAAACTTGTATGGTAGAAGAAAGTTGAAAAGGATTGAATAGAAAAGAAGAGAAGGTAAAAATAAAATGAATAGACGGTAAAAGGACTCACAATTAAGAATCCATAAAAACCAGAGTGAAAAGTGTAAGTTTGTTTGTATATTCTGTATGGCACAACAGATAAAATTGTGAAATTGTGAGTTGAAGAAAGAGAAAGATAATTAATTCATCCATCCATCCATCCATCCATCGAAACTTCAGGGTCTCCTATCCTACCCTAAGCTAGTACAAAACTAGTACACCTGACTCCCTGCGGCATAGCCCCAGAATCCAAGCCATTTAGCGTCATTTTAATCTTTCTAGCGCATCTTTTTATTTATCTAGTGTCTTTAATTGACGCGGCCATTGATCATCCCGACCCCGATACCCACCCCGACAAAAGGGGGAATTTATTATAATTCTCAGAGCAACTCAGATGAAAGCTTTATCTTTTAGATGGCTCGGCGAATTGTTATCCAATGAATTTATGCCTTTTTTATATTTACCCAATTATACCAAGTAAAACCAACGAAAATGATGACTTCTTTCCTATCCACCCAATTATATCAATTAAATCAAGTTAAAAACCAACAAAAAATAGTTATTTAATCACCCTCTTCAATACAACCAATCAATCATCACGGAGTATATCCAGTCCAGTCCAGTCCAATCCAACCCCAACCAACGAAACGATTGCTCTTTTGAGTGATTACCTCGTAGTATCTAACTACTGTAGTATTATTTTGTATATGTCAAATGATTTGTTGGTTGCTCAACTAAAGCTCAACTCGAAGCAAGGTTCAGCATATATGCATGATACTCTCCCAACTATTCATTCTATCATTATAAATTTTACACACATTTTTACATGCATTCTTACATACATTCTTACATACATTTTTACATACATTCTTACATACATTCTTACATACATTCTTACATACATTTTTACATACATTCTACCCCAAAATTCCAAAGATCCAACAAAGTTCTCCGTACTCAGTACCACATAATACAATACAAACCAATAAATTCCCCATCCCATTCAAATCTTACCCATCCCATCCCACTCCATACCTGGGCGTCTCCCACTCGCATTTCACACTCGCATTCACACCCGCATTCGCATTCGCACATCCATTCGCACTCGCACATCCATCCCTCATTTTCCCTTCAAACTTCCCCTTCACGCTTTCCCTTCAAACCTTCCCTTCAAGCTTAATTATAATTACCTACTAAAAAGACCCATCAATCCATCACTTTATCGGATTCCGGTCCAATACGCTTTCCGTGTAATCACACACCGTATACCC